TTTTTTTTTACAAAAAAAGATTTATGGCTAAATTTATTTTAAATTGGTTAATTTTAGAAACAATGAAAGAAATGATTTTATATTTTTTTTTAAAAAAAATGACAATATCATATTATCCCGTTGATAAAATTGATGAAGTTCGACGGGCTTATATTAACTATGGTCCTTATCAATACATTGGATAATATCCGTCGAGCGGGTCGGGAAAATACTCTCATCGTTTTCAAGCATCGTGGTTCAAAATAGTTCCCTCTTAGAAAACTCTCCTACGAGTGATGTTGCATTTAGTTTACCTTGTTATTTGTTCAACAAACCAGGTAAGCATCACAGTCAGAATACTTTCTTTGTTGATGGTTTCAGAAATTGGAAAAATGTACAAAATGGGAAAGACTGTGCATTTTTTAATCACATTAAAAAGTATCATAATTCATTGCACAAAATTGCTGAGAAATCATGTGAAGACTTAATGAATCAAGCAGAACACGTTCAAAATTTTATTGAAAAGCAAAGTTCTGAACAAAATACAAAAATAGATTACGGCTCGAAACCTTGATTGTTGCAGTTCGGTATCTTGCTAGTCAGGATTTGGCTTTCAGAGGTCACGATGAAAGTAGAGAGTTTCTTAACCGTGGTAATTTTCTTGAATTTTTTAGTGCTATGTCTAAAATTAATGAAAATATTTCAAATCTTGTATTACACAAAGCACCTCAAAATGAATCGTATACATCCTCGTCTGTTCAGAAAGACATTTTACTTGTTATGTCGATGAGGATCAAGAAAGTGATTCGTGAGAAAATTGGAAATGCTAAGTTTTGCATTATTGTTGATGAGGCCAGAGATGAATAAAAAAGGGAGCAAATGGGTATCATTTTGAGATTTGTTGATATTGATTGTTTTGTTCGGGAGCGCTTCTTTGATCTAGTTCATGTGTCTGATACGAAAGCGGTAACTTTAAAGGATGCAATATTTTCTACTCTTCTCTGTCACAATCTTTCAGTATATAACACTAACAATGCTATATAAGCAATCATTATTGTTCCCACATTGACCAGCAGACCACTTCAAAAAGCTGTCTCGCATTAAATGCGATCGTATCCACCTCGTACCAGAAGTCAAACACACGCTACTATAAATAGCATAATTTATGATTGTACAAGGGGAGCTTTTTCCTTTTTACATGTATTTTATACATACATGCACAATAAGCTCGGTTTACATACAAACCGACTCCTTGTACTCATTAATCACTCAGAAATAATAAAAAGTCTCCACTTTTTACGCTTTAACTACATTGTTTTATAGTTGTCAACTTTCATACAACAACATATATTATGCGACGTGTTTTCGCATAGTTTACGACTTTCATATCCAAATCCACCGTACAATTTACCATATGCGACAAATTTTCACGTATTTTGTTATCGCTTATCCAAATCGAACTTTGCATATTTTATTTTATGCGACATGTTTTCCCTTAATTTACGACTCGCAATCCAAACCCACTGTGCAATTTACCATATGCGATAAATTTTTGCATATTCAGTTATCACATATCCAAATCGAACAATGCATATTTTATGATATGCAACTTGTTTTCGCATAATTTACGACTCGCGTATCCAAATCCACCGCGCAATTTACCAATGCGATAATTTTTTATATTTAAATTGCATATGCAAATCGAACATTGCATATATTATGTTTTGCGACGTGTTTTCGCATAGTTTATGACTTGCTTATCCAAATGCATCACATAATTTACCATATGCGATAACTTTTCGCATATTCTGTTATGGTATATCCAAATCCAACATTTCATATTTTATGGCATAAAACATTGTTACAAAAATATAAAAAAAATTGTTATGCAAAATGCAAAAGTAATCTTTATAAATATATTGTTACTAAAATATAAAATGATTTGTAGTACAAATTTTGACAATTTGTTGTAAAGAAAAAGTAATCTTTAAAATTGTTGTTAGTAATCTATAAACAGTAATGCTCACATACTCACGGTGGGCACATGTTAATATGATCATCGCTTATGTGACATGCATTTATTCTTTTAAATATATTAACATCACCAATGTGTGGGTGGGTATATTAACATGTGTCCACATTGGGTAGGGGAGCATTATCCAATCAATAAAATATACTATTAAAGTATAAAAAGTTTGTTGTACAGAATTTTGTTGTAAAATTTATACTATAATGCAAATCTTAATTAAAAGTGATTTAGTGTATATCTTTTTCTTCTCTCACTAGTACGTACCCCGTGCGATGCACGGGGCAAAGATATTAAATGAGTTAATTTTAAAGCCTTGTCCGTTTAAGTCAAAAAAGTAATAATGTTATTATTTATTTTCTACCTCTTTTAATCAATGTTAAGTCTAAAAAATTATTAAGCCGCCATCTGACAAATATGTATGGAGTTGTGTGTTCGTGTCTCATAAGTCACAAACATTATGAATTATTCATTCAAACTTTTATTCATTACAAATATATTAAAATAGTTTATATAACAACCATTAAATACCACTTTCAATATATTTATAAATAAAAAGTACACAAAATTTTTGGTGTGTTCAAATTTAAATAAATTTTTATGAGCTCAATTTTAAATCATCCACATTTGGTCAAACACATAGGTGTGTTCAAATTTAAATCATTGACATTTTGATCGGTTGAAATTTAAATCATTTACCATGGTACTGTGATGTGTATTATATATACACACAATTTTTTAACAAATAATTTATGCTTTATAAAAATAATAATAATAATTTCACAAGATTTTAAACGTAAAATTTGGTTTTTAATCACAATAGAAAAATTAAAGTTGTATTGAAAATGTGTTATGAGATAAAACAATTAACTAAAATAGCTAAGTAAAATACTTGATGAAAATAGAATGCATTAATTACCTTTGACTTTTCTTACTACTAATTCTAATAAATAGAATGCCTATATAAGTATAGATTTTCATTTTTCACCGATTCCATTCTAATCTTAAGAATATATTGGGAAAATAATCTTTGAACAAAAATATTGTTACGTTCAAATGAGTTGATTGTGCCCATTATATTTGAAATTGCTGATTTTTTGAAATCTAATACTATGATATTAAAATACACAACAAAACTTTTACCATAAAAAGGAGCATGATAATAAAATCAAAATAATTTGACTATAAATAAGTTCGTATGTATCTAATAAATCTGCAAACAAATATGCTAATATAATAGCGGTCAACAAGTAGAGACAATCCGGATTCAACTTATCGTAATGAATGAAATTAATGCTTCTTCTTTTCTTATTTAAAATAAATTTTAAAATTATCATTTTTAGTATGTAACTAATGTTTATAGCGGGTAAAAAATTTTCAAAAATAATTTTATCGTTATCTATATATATTGAATGAGGTTGATGTGAACAATCTGAAATAGTAATTTTGACTTTGTAATTAAATATGTTGACTTAATATTAAAGAAGATATAGTAAAAGTTACTCTAATATTTATAGAAAATAAAAATTAAATTATACATACTTGTTGTAAATCGTACAATATGGTTAATAGCACGACTTTTTATATAAATAGAGTGGTGCCAAATTTGAAAATTATTTTGTGATAATTATCGCAATAAAAAATCAATTCTACATATTAATTACGAATCACTGAAATTATTATTATTTTGATAATCAACCATACAATATGTCTTCATAAAATGTCTATTATATATATCTTGTTTTTAAAAATTATTATTTGAATATGCACCATATAATTGTAATATAATTACAAAATAAAATGGAAAATCAATTATGGAAATTTTATGTTACAATAGAATCATATTAATCAACATTAATATCAAACCATAGTGAATTCTTATTCATTTGGTAACCAATCATATATGTATATTCAAAAAATCATTGGATCCAGTGGGTTAGATTAAAATCATTTGATTTATCAATAACTCAACTGTTTCAGTTTTCAAAAATCATAAACCCAAATTTCTAAAATATGAAAAGTAATTTAACTATTTATCTTTAACAACAAATATTTATTTATCCTTAGTAATAAATCATGCATTCTCCTATTTTTTGGGTATCCGATGATATATAGACCGAAATATGCGTGAGGAAATTGCAAAATATAAGTATAAAATAAATTTAGAAATCAATTGCAAAAATCTTATCAACTTAACTACCACACTACTATAGTAAAATTGATATCTCAACATTACTAACAAATCACTACGATTATCTCAACATTAATAACAAATCACTACGTTTTTCTATTCATTTTGTAACGAGCCATACCAAAAATTATTTATTGAAGGAGTTAAAAAATGGCATTAGATATTATCAATAAATGCACCAATTTTTTTATTTTTTTTAAATTCATTTTGCGATTCACGATATCATAAAAATTATCATATAAATTAATAGATTAGAAAGAAAAATTAAAATATTTATAATACTTTAAATTGTAAGAAAAGTATTTATATAATTAAAAATTAATAATTTTTTTTAAATTCAAAATAATATATATCTTACAATTGATATAATTAAAAATTAATATTTTTTTAATTTCAAAATAATATATATTACAATCTTTTTCAATATTGTTGGTCATAATATTTGTCACATGTGTCTATATTTATTGAAAGAGATTGATTGAATAATTTAAAATAGTAACTCTGACTTTGTAATTAATAGGTTGACTTAGTATTAAGAGAAATATAGTAAAAATAAATTTAATATTTATAAAAGAAATGAAAATTACATTATACATACCTAT